GAAATTAGTTTTTTGTTTGTTCAGCTCAGCTGTTCTACGTGCCTCTTACCATATGCTTATTTTTTAATTTCATTTAGAATTTGAAGAATGAGATTCAGTCTTGCTCCCAAAACATCTCAATGGGCAAATTTTATGATGGCAAGTGTAAGTATATAAGGCCCAATGGCATGTGAAGTTTGATACTTTTTTTTATTAGTAGTGGCAGTGGAAGCTTCAGAAATGTGCTAACAAGGGTTTCAACCAAGGGCTCACATATGACCTCTAGTCAGGGCCCCAGAGTAGTCCTGGTAGGAGTCAGAGGTAGATATTTTATGGTTTAGGATAGTCTATGACCTGGCTAAGATTTGTATGCAACTGTTATGGACTAATTTGAAACCAAGGAACAACAGTGGATGTGTGCAAAAATCTCTATCTGGGATGAACAACTTGAAAATGAATGATGAATCGTACTAGAATTCATCATGACAATTAACAGTTAAATTAATACCCTTGCTCTGTTCTTTCTGATTGGTTGTGCATTTTTTTCACTTCGCAAACGGTAGAAACAGTTTGAACTACTGATTTTTCTGAAGCAACAAACTCTGATAAAAATGTGAATGCGCATGTGCATGAACCAACGCTTTTGATTTGCACAAATAAATTCACAAGTGCAAAACAGCCTAATCCCAGAAAAAGTATAGCATGGAACGCCATGCAAATGAGTAATATGGAACGCCATTGGTGCCAAAATCAATTTATTTTTAATAGTTTTCACTGATTAAAACAAAATTTAGGGACTGGAACCCAGTCTATGTTCTTTATTTCACAAACTGTTTATAATTGTCACAAACCATAATACAACATACTTGATATTAAGGTCCTAACATTTCAGTTGCAAACTAATTTAAAAAAAAAATCTTTGTAGACCTGAATGGTGTGTTATTGTTTTACAGCCACGTGTCCCGGTTTCTCACATACAACAAATACATCAATTGAGGGAAGGCTACCAGATGAACCAATACAAAACGTTACTATAAGTCATTACAGTGCACAATATATTCAAGATGATGGTTCTGTTTTATCTAACACATTCACTGGTCTTAATATCTCATTTGATTTGGATCCAGCAGGTGAGTGTTAATTTCAACATCATCTTCAATTCAATTTAAAAAATGAGAATGTAAGATTATTTAAGAACATAAACTTACTAATTAGAAGAAGTTCTTTGTAATATCACATCTCACTGTTGGCTGCAATTTTGGCCACGAAGTGTTGTATATTGTGAAGTTGAAGAATAAAGTGATATATTTGTTTTCACCTGTGTTAAAAAGAAAAAGATTTTCAAAGCATATAACATAATAATATGCAAGAATTGGTGGCCAAGAATTTTTAATATGCAGTACATGATATCTAAACAAATTTACTTGTAATTCATTATTATATTAAATGCTTGCGGTATAATCAATCAGTCAATCAATCAATCAATCAATCAATCAATCAATCAATCAATCAATCAATCAGTCAATCAAGCAAGCAAACAGTTAATTAATTAATTTATTTATTTATTCATTTATTTACTTGTAATTCATTAATATAATAAATGCTTGCAGTATAATACTAAAAAACAACATGCAAACCTTCAAACCACAAATTCATTATTTCTTTACTTCTAACATTATTATGAACCTAACCTAAAAGTTATATGTACTTTGATATCAATTGCAGGATATGGTCTTTATCAAGGAGCTATCATCGAGATTACAGGAATTGCATTTCAAAGAACGCATTTTGGTCAACAAGGTTGCTTTTTTCTAAGTTTTGATGGTGTCCTCAATAGGTCTGCTGTAGTCTTGTCAAATAATAAAATAGTATGTTCATATTTTTGAATTTATTACTCCCCCCCCCCCCCCCCCCACCTTCTCATCGGGGAAGTTGGTAGAGATTCGTCAGGGAATTAAAAAAAAATATTTTAAAACGTTAAAAAAAAATTTTGGCCTGATTATAAATTAAAAGGTAGGAAAAGGTTGGAAAATACCCCATAACTTGCAACGTCATTGTGTGAATTGAGTATGGCCGTGGTCCGTGACTATCTAGCAGCCTTAACAACGATAAATTAAATTAAATGCCAATGAGATAAAAAAAAATTAAATATTCATATTTTTACTCACATTAACCATAAGGTGAGACTATTTTATACCATATTAGCGAACTTTCCCGCCTGCCAATAATGATGATTTCAAAAGTAAAATTTTATTTTTCGCCAATTATAGCACACTCATCACAAAAAATTGGGAAGTTCAGAAAAAAATTAAAGTTTCTTTATTTTTATTTTTCTCACCGCTGCCTTAAAGTCTCCCAAAATAAGATATGAATATTTCTTTCTAATTATATAAATTTAAAGCATTTAAAAAAAAATGTTCTCCTCCATTTGGATGTTTTTGGCAAAACTCTTTGCTAAATGAAACCAAAATTTTATATTTATTTTTTTTCTACCCTCCTCTGACGATCTTTAAAAAATTAAGTTCGCGAAACTAGGTATATAAAAGTCTCACCTAATAAATGATATATTTGAGTTACAGTATGAAGGAAGATAAAAACATTGTGTTTTGCTTGATATTGTTAGAAACGAATATTCTTTGACTGTGCTAGGCAGCTTGCACCAGCAACGACATACCTTATTACCATCAAAATGGCACCATTTTTAACCAAATACTTCAAAATCTATTATCAGATACCAAGTGAGTACATTTATTGATTTTATTTTATATTTATATGT